TGCCCCCCCTCCTCCCCCCCATCTGTGAAAGGATTCATCCATGAAAGACATATGGGCTTTGTCAAACCATCAAAGCAGATCATCTCACAAGGAAAAAAGAAGGGTAATGGGGTAAAAAGAGGATCCTGAGCAAGGTTCCATCAATCGTGAAGTGCTCACTGAAGGGATCTCACATGGGCGTGACTAAGTGATGTCATTGATGACCACATCTCCAAAAGCAATACATCCACATGAGCAGTAAGTGACTGAGCCAAGAGGGTGTGGAAAACCAACAGTTCCACTAAAGGAAGTAATAAAGGAAAAGGATGGGCCTGACTGATATGAGTTTTGAAAAAAAAGACCCCCAAATGGACAAGATATTGAGTGGGTCTGAGGAAGGACTTCTCCAGTTTGATCAACAAGCCCACCCAAACTGCCACAGTAAAGAGCTGCTAAGTATGATTGGCCGATTCCTTTTCGGAATGAGCCAGAAGAATCCAGTCATCTACGTAATAATGAAATTGCAGCCCCAGGACATGTAAGGTGCCAAGGCAAATCCGAAGGGGAGGGCTCAAAATTGATAAATCACATCGAGATGGACAAACCTAAGATAAGGATGAAACTGAGGTGATATCAGTGTATGTAGGTAAGCATTGGAAACATCCATTTTGGTCATCCACAACTTTGTAAAAAATGACCATCTCGGGGTGAGAAAATACTCCATGGTGAACCAGGGTAGTGAAACAAAGCAGTTGAGGCAAGATAAATCGAGTACCAGCAGCCAATATTCGTTTTTCTTGGGGACAACAAAAAGGCGGGAATAAAAACGACAGGAAGAATGGGGAACAGGTTCAATAGCCTGCTACTAGAGCAATTCCCGAACCGCTTCTTACAGATGCTGGCTGGTCATGGGATCTCGAGAAGGAGGGAAAGAAATGGGATAAGGAGATATGGGGAAAGAAACTGGACAAAGAATCCTTCTGGCAGAACCTGAAGCATCCATTGAGCACCAAAGAGAGAATGCCAGCAATGAAGGAACTCAAAAGCCAAGTTCCCACTAGACCAGTAATTGGAGGATGAGGCTCTGACTGAGACAAACAGGCTAAGATATTCATAAGGGTGGGTTGTTGTTGGACCAATGTCACACGAAGCTCTAGTTTCCAGAGCTGTATCAAAAACATAACGCCTCAGAAATGGAATCATACATAAATCCCTAAGATCGGTCGATGGTAAATGGATCCAAGCCAATATTGCATCACAACCTATAAGGTCCCAACAACAAATAAACCACATTTGTAATGCCAGAGTCCAAGAAGACATGCGGGTTAAAGTGAAGGAGAGAAAAGCAAAGATATCTCCAGAAAACTCCTCAGGATTTCTGTGGATAGCTTCAGATAGGAGGTGTATGGAAGAAAGATACCGTAATAGACTTGTAAGGGCAAGACACAAGCAAGAATATTGGGCATGGATAAGACTGACAGATGATTTGGGAGCCACCCCCAAATAGGCAATAAGGAACCTAACAACTGCTGGTCTGAAAATGGATAGTCAGCATGATGGTAGAAAAGTGCAAACTTATCCGAAGTTCATGGAGGGGGAGGTGGGGCAAATGATCAGCACGAACCCAAATATCAGATGAGGGAGAAAAACCAAAAAGAGTTGGGATGATTGTTCATGCAGTAAGGAAGGACAAGGTGCATAAGAAATAGGGGAAAGGGATAAAACATCATAAACTTGAGACACAAAATCCATAAAGACCGCATTATGCCTTGTAGACTCATCGGGTTGGGAAAGAAAGGTAAAATCTGGAGGTGGAAAAAGATGTTCAAAGTCCAAGTCAGCCTGGGCAATGTCCAGGGACAAAGGTTGTCCCATTCAACATTCGATCTCCCAGCATATAAAAGCAGATAAATCCACGACTGCTAGTAGCTTTGAATAAGTCTGATGTTATCTTTGAAGTAAGTAACGTTAGGTTTAAACAATCTGGTAGATGACTTTGGCCTAGTCAGCCTGATAGAAGTTATCTCTAATCCAGTTTTTAGGAGCAATTATCCATAAAAAAAAAAGCAAATATACACATTGTATTTGTGTTAGTGTAAATTAAAAAGACCATTCATTTGTGTTTTACATTAAATCTAATCTCTATATTTCATTCTTAAAACTCAGTTATTCTGAGAACTTCAGAACTAATGTGTGATAAATATCTTCACAACTCTCTTGTTATTTACTGTGTAATAAATATCTTGACAACTCTACCGTTATCCAGCAGACCTATCCCATAGTTCTATGAAAATGAGCTTCAGCTGAAAATACTATATGTGAACCCTAAATTTACCACATCCAATAATGTGATGGGAATGGGTGTGACACTATAACCACATCAAAAAAGAAGGCTTTTTATGATAAAAGCATGTAAAGTTTATTATAATAAAAGAAAAATTACTAAGTCAACAGAAAAGTCTCAATGAATTTATGCACTAAAAGTAGGTTACAAAAAACATGGGCAGCCAACAAGATCAAGAGGAAAATTTACAATGAAAAAATAATAATAAAATATAATGAACAAGACAAAAAAAAAGGTAAAAATCTCTAACATGCAAACAAATGAGGAAAGGAAAATGTTCACAACATAAAGCAGTAAATCAAAATTTGGAGATTGTTGGCAAACTTTAAGGTCACTTTTTTTATTATTAATTCCTCATGTCATGCACATCAAGGAAAACACTGTACAGTGATTATAAGAAGAGACAACTTCACATTATTAGCAAGCTGAAAAAGAAAGAAAACCTAGAATGCAACAAACCTTCATTTAATTTAGGTAAACCAAACCTAAAAATAATCCAAAAGTCAATCTAGTATTGGTGAAGAAACCAAAAAATACAGAAGTAAAATAGGAGGTCAATTGTAAATTGCAGAGTAACACAACTAAAACTTGAGTTTGTTTCAGGTATACAAGAATTCAAAGATGAAAATGAATGTTTTTGAAGTAAAAACAACACAATTAAATACAACTATTTTTATGAGAGAGACTCAACAATTATCATCAAGTGGCAAATTAAACAATATATAAGCATAAAATCCAAGTTTAAAATGCTATGTAAGCATAATAAATCACTAAAAAGTACAGTTATCTGACCATTTCTAAATGATATCACTAACAAAAATTAAAAACTTAAATTTTGTTAAACATAACAACTACAATTATCAATTAGAAGGTCTGAATGTACACCTGAAAATACTGAAACCACCTATCAGCATGTTCAGATATGAAAGAAAAAAATATGGATGGTAACACATATCAGGTGAGCCACAAAATCATACCCAAATTGCGGGTCTCAAGAGTTAAAATGCACTGTTTGTCACGGCCCAGATAACATCCTAATAAGATGAAATGACAAACAATTCAACTACATCATTATGACATACATCAAGGACTATGGTCCAGGTCTGTTGGTTTACAGATATTAAAGATTTCAATTACAACTACAATGGAAAAAAATGTACTCACCCTAAGAGCAGCAGAAACAAAAATCCTTACCTGAGTAGACCAAAAGCAGTAGTTCAAATCCATGAAACAAAAACCAATTCTTCAAAGAAAAACAGAGTAAAGAGCTAATTACAGCACAGATATAATTCAAAAATGAAGAAAGCAAATGTCTAAATATGCCAATAAATGTGACTTTATTGAGTGTAGACAGAGCATGTGGAAGTCAGGTAGATATAACAGTACATCACTATTGGTGATTGGCCCAAATATTATGTAAACACAGAGTGTTATTTCTATCATATAAAGCAAAATTATTTCTGAATGAATATACAATATTATGAGGGTACAAGTGGTGGAAGATAGAATGGGGGGAAAAGGAGAAAGGAATAAAATGTCCAATTTTCTAAACAAAACCAAGATAAAACAACTAAAGGTAAGGAATCATAGATGAATTTCACTTAACAGATTTTAACACCTTGTAAATGCCAGAATCCAAAGAACTACTTAAGATATTTTGAGAAGTTTTGAACACAATTATATTGTTGCAATGAACAGACTTAAATGTCCAAAATCTGTTAAAATTAAACTTGCATCAGTGAAGAAAAGCAAAACAATGCCATTTTTATTCATATGAGAGATTCTGGCCATCAAATTGATTGGAAATCAACAAGAATTTTATACAGAACGGATAACTACATAAAAAGAAGAATATTGAAAGTTGCTTAATCAAAACCCTGCCTAATTTCAACACCTCCCAAGGTCACTTTAAACTTAACAACTTTTTAACCTCCTGTGTCCTTACAGGGATTCCAAGATCAGGTGTCACATAGGCATTTGTTGACTAGATTTTTCCTGCCAGAAGCCAACGTGAGACTGAAGAGGACACATGAATGTGTCGAAACTAGTTTCTCTGATATCAGACTTCTGACAACTTGTTCCATTTAATGTGGTATTTTCACTAATTGCTATACACGATATTCTGTTCTTATATTATTAAACTTGCATCATTTTGATGTGGAATGCCGAATGAGGATTTATAACTGTTTTCGTATGTACAAACAAAAAACAATTAATTTCGAGTATTTCTTCCCACAGCCTCTCTAAGTTACAATACATTATTACTGCACATAAAATAGAAAGGGCTTTGACAACTATTTTCTCTTTCACTTAACTCAAAACAATTAGGCAAAATCTAACTGCATACATTGATATAAGTCAGTTACTTCACAATTTTTCCCTACAAATTATTACACAATTACAAGATTTTGGATTATCTAAGCTAACTTTCAAACTAATCATCCGATGAAAAGATTAACTGCTATACTACCCCCAAGGGAAAGCCATTCCTGAAGCAAAATTAAACACAGTAAACATAGTTATTTTAACTGTGTGGTGAAATATCTAACTGAAAACTAAAAAGTCTAACGTTTTATTAATATTTATCTTACCTTCAAAGATGCATTTATTTCTGCGACATATTTAAGAGTTTACCTTAACTGTTAACATTTACTATTTACAAAAATGCAATAAAAACCTGGATGACAGTAGTACGAGATCAGCTGGGAAAAACTGGCCATTGGTCACCTTCACAATATCACCAATAACTATTTTAGTCCATCGAACAAGCTTCCACTGGCCATCCCTCAGAGCTTAAAGAAGTAAACCAAAGGTATGTTTTAATCTCTAATTCTTAAAATTTCAGCCATAACATTATTTTTTTTTTACATATAATATCACAGTTTAAGAACACAAACAGCATATTAAATTGTTACCAAACTTAAACTTTTTAAGTTAAGGAATACTACATATCTCTATTTTGTAGCAGTGAAGAATAAGACTTCCACTACTGACACTCCAACCTAAGAACCCTCTTTCTTAAGTGCATTTTTTTTCAAAATATTTATAAAAATAGTCAAATGTGTATTAGCCTTAATAAGTGTTGAACATAGTGCAGATTATTTTTTCCCAGACTATAATGGTTAAGAGTAGTATGTTAAGCACTAACAGTTTTTAGGTGCAATAGTGCAAGGAGTGTTTTATTTAGGAATTTGAGGTTGACATGCACATTTAAGGAAGCTAGTAATTTGTTAGTAAAGTTTGGAGGTTGGAGGAGAAAATGGAGGCTGTTCTAAATAGGGTATAGGTTATGGATAAACATAAAGGTAAACTGTGAAAATAGCTGCAGGATTGAGAGAAAATTAAGTTTTTGCATGCAAAGAATAAAGTGACTAATAATGACTTTCGGGTAGTTAAAAACAATACAAAAAGAGCTAGTAGTAGTGGATTTAAATATAATGAGAAGGTTCTATTATGTAACAGATTTCAGCTTTTAGATTATGTACATGGTGAACTTGAAAAGGGAAGGATAACAAAATGAACACAAATGGTTAAGAATGAAAAACATAAGGAGGTTATTGTTATATGAGATTCTTTGGTAAGGCACCTGAATAGGATAGTCTATGGTGTAAACAGGAAGAAAATAATTAAATTATGCTTTCCAGGTGGAGGATATAACCAACAGAGCAAGTGATATATTAAAGGGTGTTCGTAGTAATATAGTGTTTGTAATGCATATAGGAGCAAATTAAGTAGGGAAGGATAGGTTAAAGGAGCTTATTGTTAACTACAAGGCATTCAGAGAAATCATTTGACAAAGTGCCACATAAAAGCCTTGTTAAAAATTCTCAATATATTTGGGGATAGGTTGTTTCATTGGACAAATTAGACAGAAAATTAGCTTGATGGAAAAAAAAGCAGAGGGTTGTTATAAATGGAGTTCAGTCATACTGGAGTAATATCACGAGTGTAGTACCTTAGGGCTCAGTGTTAGTACCTTTGGTCATTTTTATTTACATCAATGACATAGATGAAGAAATGGTCAACCGATTATTTAAATTTGCTGATTACATTAAAGTTTTGGGTGTTGCTGGTTGTGAGGAGGATGCTACTATTTTAAAAAAGGATTTGGATTATTTGGTGAGTTGGGCAAATAAATGACAGATTACTTTCAGTTATAATAAATGTAAGGTAATGCATGTGGTATATCAAAATTTAATTATGAGTATAATTTTAGTGGAAATAAATTTCAGCAGTGTTATGGAAGAGAAAGATCTTGATGTTCTGGTTCATCAGTCTCTTAAGCCATCTCCTGTTGCTAGTTGGAGGACAAATAGGATTTTAGATTGCTTCTACATAAGTATTGAATACGAATCTAGAGATTTTATAACATCATTGTATAGGTCATTGGTTGGGCCACATTTGGAGCAGCATTCAGTCTTGGGTGCTTTACTTAGGAAGGACACTGAATTGTTGGAGAGGGTTCAGAGGAGGGTTACTAGGACAATACCTGGAAAGAAAAGGTTGTCATATAATGATATGTTAAAATCTCTGAATTTATTTTATCCTGAAAAAAAGAAGAGTTAGAGGATTGAGGATTTTAAGATTGTTAAGGGAAATGAAAATGTTGATGTATTTAATGGTAAGACTATGGAACACAAATATAAATTTTGGCAGTGTAGGAGTCATCTTCAGCTAACACAGCTTTATTTTTCCTAACAGTTTTTCTTTCAGTTAATTAAAGGGACTTTAACCCATTCACTGAGGCTGGGATGTATATTTCCCACAATGAAAGAGTAAAGGAAAAAGCTTGATAAATATTTGAAAGATAATGGCTGGCTTTGAATTTTTTCCTAATTATAATTTAGTGTATAGGATGGCCTGGTTCAGGGTCTCTCAAACTTTTTTAGAGTTGTCGACTCCTTGACGAACTTAAAAAGTTGCCATTGACCCCCAAATTTTTAGAACATAAATTATTAATTAAAGTAATTAAATTAAAATTCATTTTTAAAATATGTATTTTTCATTACTGTGTGAATTTCTACACTGTGTAAGATTTGAGAAAAAAAAACGAATATCATTTACTCACTGTTGCTACTAGGCGTAGGGCAGCTAGTTGCGTAGGCCAACCTTACCCTAGAGACAATTTTCAACTCCCTATCAACCCCTAGGTCTTTATTCACCCTCTTTTATATTATTCCATTTTTCTCTTCTCATGTTAACAGTAATAAGGAAGTATTCATGAAAGCTTACAAGATTTTCTATAACATTGTCTATCCAAGCACCACCGAGAAACAGGAAGTGCTGTGGACATCCACACTTGCCATTGTTTATTAATCTTATGAAAGAGTTGATGCATTTGACTTCAAGTAAGTCATTCATTTCTCTTGTAAAAAAATTTTAAAGATAAATTTCCCAGGTGTTTTAGTGTAGGAGTACTGAGTAGTTGCTTAGGAGTTGAAGCTTACCCTACATAAATGACAACAGTAAGGACCATTCTGATGAGAAGAATAGATATGGAAAATCATTTGGAACTAAAACATATATTTCTCATTTTTGATCAAGCCATTTATGCAAAGGTGCAACAGGTTCAATGGCAAGGCATTACATGAGAAATGATCAAACATTTAGTAGTGTAAACTGGGGAATTTCATACATGTACATCATACCTGGGCATACTTGGAAAGAGGTTTGGCAATGTAGGACTGTGTGACATCATGACTGAATCAGAATTTGTTGCTGAAGGTTCAGTTAATGCAGTCATGAATGGTCATCAATACAGTAAAAGCAGGAAAATGCACAAACTTGTGTAGTCTTGAACATCTGTGTTTCTGAGCCTTCTTGCATTTGCTATCAAAACAAGGAAAAAACCAATGTCCTGCATACCATTGATGAACTAAGAAATTCATTTCCTTCTTATGTCTTTTATCATTTCAGTGATGAGGAAGACTTCATGAATATCATAACCAGATATCATGACTTAGTTCAAAGACAAAGCATCAAAAGTGCAACATTTTGCTTTTGGAGTTCCTATACTGACCCAGTGCTACTCCTGGTCTTGTCTGTTAGAGATATTCAAGAATCTGACTGGAACATGCATCTCTCATCTATTAAAATGATAATGTCTGGTTCTTCTCATAAAACTACCTTAGTTACACTAGATACCTGCCTACCTATTGGATAGAGATTATGAAGCTGTATAAAACACATCCACACTTTCAGGAACAAATTATTGTACGAGAACAGTTCAGAGACAGGTTCTTTCACACCATGAAAGAGCTGCCATTACCAGACAGTGTGAAGAAAAAAGTACAAAAATGAGAAAAAGATCTTAACTTGAAACAAACACAGACCAGACAGCTATCAAGAAAATTATTTCTCCTGTAGATGCAATTAACCCCTTTAAATGGTTACAAGAGGAGCTTGTTCAGTGGAGCACTGAAGTAAAAGCTAACTTATTGAATGCTGAGGAAAAAGGAGAAGAGGTGGCTATGATATTTATAACTGAATACTTCCTGTCTGAAAAGGAAGATTATATGCACCCTTAAAATCACAAAAATTGAAGACTTCCTCTACACAGAGTAAGAAGAAAAAAAAAAAGCTGGTGAAGAGATGACCACATGGGATCAGAAGCAATTTGCTAAAATGCTTGTCACTGGCCAAACCAGAAAAATTGACATAAAAAAAACATACTCTGCTATTCAGTAGGGAACATTTCCTTTTCCACTTGCCAGTACAGATTGGACTCTTGTTAAAACAAGTCTGTACTAATGGATGTCATTGAAAGCAAAGCTGAGTGACAATGTAACAGGAAATGGTGCCCTGATTATTAATTATGGCATTGATTCAGGCCCTTACCAACATTCCACCCACTTTTGGTGAGCTAGCAAATAACATCCTTGCTTAAATTGTGCATCTGTCTGATGCCTACAGGTCAACTGTGACAAACAGGTATCTTGCAGAAAGTATAAGACACTAAGTACTTCAGGCAAGGTAGTGATAAGACAGATTTTATACAGATCTACAGTGCCAACCTGAAAACTCCAAATCAGTGGAGGAAATTCCTTGCACTTGGAAAGAACATAGAAGCTCTAGTCGAATTCTAGTGTGATGTACGAGGTGATGTCATTATACAATGTAATAAACTCTCCATTATTGTCAATGCTGTCACTGAACTTTGCAGTGATAATGAAAAAACTGTTACTATAATACTTTTACATGCAAAACATGCCAGCCACAAATGTGACAACATCATAATCAAAAGTCATGACATTGTGATAACTATAACACTTCATTCACAATTCATGTCATATTTGTTCTTTCTTACAGGAATGATCAACTGATCCAAAATTGCTAACATTCAGAATGTCACAGCAGCACATGATGGTGAAGTATATGATGCACTGATTGGATTACATTCATTCACTGGCTGAGACAACACCAGTGCTTTTCACATCAAAGAAAAAAGGAAAGCATTAATGTTAACATCAGAGAAACATGAATTTCTGGTAGTATTTGCTAATGTTGGGAGAGATTTCAATCTCAGATATTCTACTATCCTGATAATGGAAAAGTTTGTCATTTACATAAACAAACTGCTTTAACTGTTATGAACAAGACTAGATACAAAGCATTCTGCCTAACCTCAAGCTCACTTTCAGGACAGAATCTACCATCAATGCAAGATGCTCTCTACCAACACTGCAGGTTGGCAAACTATCAGGCAACAATTCATAACTGTTCGCTACAAGCCTCATCAACTGGTGGCTATTGCTGGAATAATTAGGACAACCACCTTCCCATAACATTGATG